AGACAGCTGATAGTACCATTAGAATATACTGACTTGACAGCTGATACTACCATTAGAATATACTGACTTGACAGCTGATATACCATTAGAATATACTGACTTGACAGCTGATACTATCATTCGAATATACTGACTTGACAGTTGATAGTACCATTCGAATATACTGACTTGACAGCTGATATACCATTCGAATATACTGACTTGACAGCTGATAGTACCATTCGAATATACTGACTAGACAGCTGATAGTACCATTCGAATATACTGACTAGACAGCTGATAGTACCATTCGAATATACTGACTAGACAGCTGATAGTACCATTAGAATATATTGACTAGACAGCTGATAGTACCATTCGAATATACTGACTAGACAGCTGATAGTACCATTAGAATATACTGACTTGACAGCTGATACTACCATTCGAATATACTGATATAATTTTTGTTTGTTTGTTTGAATTTAAGCACAATGCTCCACAATGGGCTATCTGTGCTCTGCCCACCACGAGTATCAAAACCCGGTTTCTAGCGTTGTAAGTCCACAGGCATATCGCTGTCCCTTTGAGGGGCATACTGATTTTAGACTATAAAAAAACCCTACCTTCGAACGAGTTTTACTTTCTACATTTAAAAATTGAGCTTAGTTTTGAAACTACCTTGTCAGGCATAACTTTCATCACTTACTTAGTTTGCGATTAAGATTAAATGTTTTAGTATATTTTTGATTAATGAAAATAATAAGTAATTACTACAACACGTATAGCATTTTAATGCGCATTCTTAGGATATTAAATTAAGTTCGCATAGTAATGCAACGATTTTATTAAAATTTGCCGCTAAGTAAATACATAAAACAATTTTCACTCTTATATGGATGCATTGAAGTTGCATGATTTTGATTTACGTGAATGTCGTATAACTTATGTTTATAAAATTGTTTAACTGTGGACTTGTTTGAGTAGATTTTCTAAGTTTTATTTGTAAACGAACCGATTTCTTCTTTTTAAAAGACTAAACTACCTTATATTTAGACTTCCCGTAAATCTTTCATTTTCATTTGTTCAATGTAAAGAAAGCGTAATATTTTTTTACTTAATTCGAGCCATTTGCCAATCAAACCAAATCTGTCCAAGTGATTCAGTTGAAAGATATCTCCTCGTGTAAACGTATAATTTCTTCATTGTAAACAAGAGAAACTGAAAACACATTCGTTTGTTCTTCGTGTTTGCATTTCTTTGTTAATCTTCGGTGCCAAGATGAGAATCTCAGTTAAATGCTTAAAGAAATACTTCAATCTAGCGTGTAATATGAGTAGGTAAACAGTTCAAGTTCCAATCATAACGATAAGGACTTTAGGTAAGTTTAAAGTACGCTAAGTGATACTATAAAATAACGATATTTGATGCTATTACAAAAGATAACGTTCTTCTCCTTCGATACTTAACACATATAAATTATTCTTTAACATCAGCGTAAGGAATTCCTATAATCATAAATGGTCTTCATGAAAACAAATATCAAAAAAGTAAGAAAGATTAGCTTCTATTGCGTCAAAAGTATTTGGACATCGTTCCTCCATCTACAGATGGGTTTATTCTCAACAAATTTTCACGTGAATCTTATGATGTATTGCCGAATTTCTTCTCCTTCTTTTTTTTAAATAAAGATTATTTAGTTGCAATGGGAAGCTTGCTCAAGTAAAAATGATACGAGAAAAGGAAGTCACGAATCTTAAAGAGGAGTGGTTATTGGTTACAGTATTTGTAGTATCAGTGTACAATACACTTAAGCCTATTTAAAATCAAGTGAGATTAGGGTAGTATACTGAATAAATGGAAGACAATTAGATGTGCTTATGTGAAACATTGGTTAAACCCCCCCCCCCCCCCCCCCCAACCGTGAAACATTCAATGAGAAAAATGATATTTGAAATATGTTGTGAAAGTAAACCCCACGAGCGACATTAAATTAATCACACCGGACGAAAGTGAAAGACTGAAAGCCAGCAGATTCCATAAGTGCAGTTTTAGAGAGGAATTTTTTTTTTCTCAAATATTATATGGAATATTATATGATTTTTATAAACAAAATTAAGGCGATTGAAAAAATTCCAGAAAGTTGAGCAAATCTTCAAAATCTTTGTCACAATGATATCGTTTAATTTAAATATCACAGTTTGATTATTAATTATTGAAATAAGTTGTTAGTGTTAACAACACTCAGACACGTATTGTTTTTACATTATGTGAAGTACAAGTTAGAAATAAAATTTTAGGTTATTTACTTTATATATCTTAAGTGTAAACTGATTGTCTAGTTAAATCTAGGCATATTTCGAATCATTATTAGTTTGGAGTACTACCTTTTTACAGCTGTGAACCTTAGATAACTGCCATTGAACTGGGAAACTTACTACAAGAAAACTATTATAACTTAAATGTTATTATAACCATAATTATAAAAAATTCACATGTCTTTCTGGTCGTTTATCGTATTCTCCTTGTGTAATCCAACATAAATAGTTACATTTTCTCTCAAAGTCTAGCCCAGATGACGAGTTCTCGTATTGAATGAGAGGCCTCTTGGGCATTGACTTGTGGGAAACAAAAGATAGATTTGAAAAGCTATTTACACGCCTTTGCTTTCATATCCGCAATGAACAAATTAAGACGACCGTAGAGAAAAATACACCCACAGTTAACGTGATTTTTATCACAAATTGTAGGCCTATTAGTTTCCTATATTTCACAGTCTTTCATCGTAACGTTCAAAAACAATTCACTGTTGATTAACACATCAGTGCTCATATCAAATTAATATTAACTATGTATAGTTCTGTAACGGTCAAAAATAACACGCCGGTACAACCAGGGATCAACAAAAACAAAAGACAATTTATTAAATTGTAACAACACTTGGAATAAAATGTAGCACTTACCAAAAACAAGGTTAATAAACACGTGTCTGCCCAAGACTGGGTACTAATGTTAATGAACAATAAAACATAAATATTAATTATTTCAGATAATGGAATCGGGCAAAAGAACCTGAAAAAAAGAAAAAATCTAATTGAAAAACAACACAATATTCCAAAATCAATTTTCTATATTAATAACAATATCGAATGACAAAAAGCAATAATTCAATAACTATCTTGTGACTCAGTTTATGAATCTTATGGCAGGGTATTTATTCACAACGTTAGGTCACGAGAGTATATCTCACGTGATCATAAATTTACATAATATTTAGCTACATTAATAATATCTGTATGTCACCGCTAGAGAAGCTGGTTTTAGTTTCATAATACTTACATATTTACTCAAAATAAACGTGATCAGCTAGAAGGTGAGTTAGCGTTTGAATGTAACTAAAAATATATAGATAAACTAAACGATAGAAGGAATAATATATGAACGATAAACAAAACCAAAAGAAATAGAATTCGTTAACTTACAATTTAACTGATAACTTCACTGATTTTTCCTGCTACCTTGTATAGTTTTGAGTATTTTATTTAAATGACCTTAATTAATATAGCAATGTTGAGTTTAACAAAGCCAAACGTAGAAGTTTTCGTCAGCACAAAGATGGAGGTGCTAAATAGATCCTGGGGCACTGCTGGTTACTCAGCAAGCTCGATGGGTAGTCCATCTTGGCAGTTCAATCTCTGGTGTGTTGGCTAAATAAAAGACTTTATTAATAGACACTAGATAAGTAAATTATTTCATAATGAACATCATCTATAAGTCCCAATTCTACTGACTATTGATACTAAGTCATGATTTCTTGAAGCCATTGTTTCAAGATAATTCAGTAACTGTTCTTACGACTGTATTTCCTGCAGTAAGCTATCTTTTTTAAAAAATAAATAACTGGTAATATAGTTCGTGACTGCCAAACTTTGTTGGAAAGTGGCGTGTTTATTTCTGGTTAAGCACAAAACTACACACCACAGGTATCGAAACCCGGTTTTTAACGTCAAAGCCTTCAGAGCTACTGCTGTGCCACTGTGAGATCGAAAGTGGAGTGAGGGGAAAAACTAAGACAATCTAAAATAGTTGTTAAAAAATAATAATGTATGTACAGTACCCGGGAAACAATGGAGGGGGAGGAGGGATACACACCTCTTCTGCGCAATGTGTTTGGCACCTATGATACAATTATTATAACAAGAGTAGATAAATTAATTCAGACATTATATATATATATATAGTTATACTGTAATAAGTGCATTCAATTTAATTAATCACAGACGCAAGGGGCACATATAAAATTAAGTGAACCAATGATAAGAAATATTTAAGATTAGCAATTATGTTGCTTTAAATTTATCAATAAAAGCATCCAATACTTTACTTCAATTTTTTCATTTCTCAAATATTTGTATTCTGAGCTCTGTCTTTCTTCATGAAAATATGATATTTTCTAAGTCTTTATTTGACGATCTCGTCAGAGTATTAGTTAATTAAAGTTACTAAAAGTTCCGGGTCGACCAAAAATACTATTGCATCAAAGAATAAGATCATATTATCACGCATCTTGCCAAACTATCAATTCGGAGTCACGTTCATGATGTTAGGAAAATATGCAAGTTCAAAAAATCAGTTTAACACAGAAATATGAAACCCTCTAACCCAAGCGTTTTCGGTGAAGAAAGATCCACTATTCGAAAGTGCTCGGGTTATTACAGGGTTTCTTATTTTTTGTCTTTAATTTGCATTCACAAATATATTTACGTTCTGTAGCACTAACTATGTCTTAGATTTGTGACACAAAGAAATAAATTAAATACTTTCTACAACTGCATAACAGAAGATCACAATATCATATCAAATACTGTGTTCTTTTAGCACAAAGCTACGTGACAGGCTCTCTGTCCGTTGCGTGGAATCGAACTCCGGATTTTATCGTTGTAAGTTCTTAACCTTACCACTGACCCACCGAAAGAAATATCATAACAAATGAATTTTATAAATCTCTCACATTCCTACCAAAGTTATAACACTAAAATTCGGGGTTCGATTCCCCGCAGTGGCCAGAGCACAGATGGTTGATTGTGTAACTTTGTGCTACAAGTAAACAAACCTTTCTTCTTTTCTTTTCTCCAAACATGGCTATTCACACACATTCATTCTTTATAATACAGCTTGTATTATATATAGCTAACCCCGAAACAAATGTTGATTCGTTAAGCACAAAGCTGCAGAGTGGGCTCTCTGTGCCTTTCTCACCACCGGTATCGAAAACCTGATTTTTAGCGTCGTAATCCTGTAGGCTTACCGCTGAACCACTGGGGGCCACCAATTTGTTTGTTTGTTTGAAGGTAAGCACAAAGCTACACAATGGGCTATCTGTGCTCTGTCCACCACGGGTATCGAAATCCGGTTTTTAGCGATGTAAGTCCGCAGACATTCCGCTGTGCCACTGGGGGGGCGGGGGCTACCGAAACAAAGGAACATGAAACTGTAAATAATACACAGGACTATTATTCGTGAGTGAGCTGTAGTTGCATGACCACTGTACCAGTTTAGCAATATCAATGTTCGACGTATCCAACCCCGTTATCAATGTGCTATAAAAGTTACCATAAAAATTACTCTAAATACAACAAGAATTAGGATTTTAGTATCTTTGTGTGTGTGTGTGTGTGGGGTGGGGTGGGGTGGAAGGCCGCCTATATAGCCAACTCTTTATGTTACAAAAAAAAATTTGTGTGAGCAATCTGCGAATAAATCCTATAAAATATATTTAAATTCTATGAAAAATTAATATGGACTGCGTTTTTAAAGTAATATTTCAGCTCGATCCACCAAAAGAAAAAGAAATATTACAAATCTATCGAAACCAATTTTTGTGATTGTGATACAATCGTATAAAAATAAGTTTGTTTTCATTTTAAAGTAAAGAAATGAACAAAGTATTCATAGCACCTTTCTCTTTTAAGTTATTTAAAATACTTTTTATTATTATTTTCAAGGTATAAAAATGAACAAAATATTCAAAACAAAATTTTCTTTTACTTTTCTTATTTGGATTATTTTTGTATGCACACGAATGGCAACATATTTTTATGTGCAAAATCATGACACCAGTAAAGTATGATGCGATTAATTGTAACATATTATGTATTTGTCACTTGTGTTTCTTCCTCATAATCCACTGTTCCAGTTTATTATTATTATTTAACATTTCAGTTGCTGGGACAAAGAGTGCTAAACCCGTTGTCACCTTAGAAGCGGAAAAGTAATTTTCTGTGGGTATTTTTAACATCACATTCCCACAGGGATAGTGGCAAACACCAACGTCATTCTCTTCTTGGACCCGTTTCTTCTCGCCGTTCTTCAGTTCACGCGCTTTCGGTAGTTTTCGACATGCGTTCTCGAATAACTGAGCTGATTTGTGTATGTTTATTAGTTTCTTGCCTTACATGCAATGCACTGGGGTCAGAAGACCGGTATTATCAACCGCTCCATTATCATCATCGTCAGCGACAATCAAGATCGTTAGTTGAAGAGCATGGCGATCATCCAAGTGCTGTGGAAAAGAAATTTGATCATCATATTTACGTTCAGAAACTCTTCGACAAATATGGCAAAAACGGGGTCATTACATTTAAGGAGTTCAAACAGTTGTTAGACAACCTCGGCATAGGGAAAGTGTTGATAGACCATAATTTAGAACCTCATTTTGACGACCAAATGAGGTTCCATAAAACTGTTGAAAATAATCATCATGAATATGTGTTGATTAAAAAACAGAAAATATCATATGGTCATGAGAGAGAACATGACGATAAAGAGAACGCCAACCTCAGTCGAACCATTACAGAAGGTAGGTATATGAGGTGTAGGCTATAGTTGAATATTCGGAATACTATAGTATTAGTAATACTACCATAAAGTTTATGTATATGAATAGCACCATAACATTAACAGTATGTGTATGACTCAATGCGAATGGTTTTTCTGAATACGGAATAGTCATCTCATTTCAGTTTTATATAAAGTATAATTTAATTACCAACTAAGAAACTTAGAAAGTGACTTGTTTTACATATTTTTGTTTTAATAAACTCGTAATGAGTCATGTACACTATAATACAGCGTTCCACAATTAGCACAAAACAGGCTAGTTACTCCAGTACTATTGAAGCAGTAGTAGTACATTAGGCTAGCTGTTGGGAAAGTGTGTTTAAAGGCGTAGGAACAAAACTTGGCACTAAACGTGTTACCTTCTTATTATGAGTGGGCGATTTTATCGCTATTATTAGTATTAATTATTATTGCAATATTCGTATCGTCCAGTGCTGTAGGAAATACAGTGAAGAATGTGGTTATCAAATGCGTAATGTATTGTAAGTCAGAATCTACACTACGAGTATATCTTAATTATATATTGTTCGTTTGTTGCTAGACATATTAAATAAGTTATAATTATACATGTCATCATAAAAGTCAAATATGACTGAATTTTAGCGCAACAAATCAACTATTCCACGACATGTGCTATTGTTTTCATTCTCACAAATTTCAGGGTAATCCTGAGTGTGAGGAAGGAAGAAGAATTTTTTTATATGACTTGTATCTGTAACTTAAGTTGTGTCAAAGAACTATCACATACAGTTATGCCCATTATTACTAATGTGGATATGAAACATTTGTCAAGAGAATATGATGGGAAATTTGATTTTTTTGTTCTTCATTGTTAAATTTTAAGTAAGACTTAAGAAATACCATTACAACTTACAAGGATAGTTTAGCTTTAAGTTTTTGTCTAGATATTTACTCATTCTGTCACTTATGGTTTAAAAAAAGGTCATTTATTTAGCCTAACTCAAATAACAGATGACTCTTGGACAGTTAAAATTGTCTGGTGTCTTGAAAATCATACACAGAAATCAAATACCTTATATCAAGAAATATTTATTTAAATCAATTTTTATTTGTAAGTAAGCAATTGAGGTTAGGCTCAATTAATACATTTTAAAAAATGAAGACATCATATTTATTTTGAAAATAGATAAGCAACAAGATTAAAGTATCTTGACTCTTAGATAATTGCAGAATAGTTTAATTAAAAGTTTTTACATTTTGTTCTAAATTAGTCTAGATATTCTGGATATGAAAATTCTAACCAGGCTGATATAAGACTGTTTTAAACTTTGTTTTGTTTCTTTACCCACGATTCCATTTTAGCATATGAAAAGTCCTCTTATAATTAACAACTAAAAATCTTCCCATCTTCAAACACTATATGAAAACAGATAATACATTTGTAACAATTCTAAAATTAACTCAGAAAATACAGACTGGATCTACTTAAAACTACCAACAGCATATGACTAAAAACATTTATATATTGAAAATAGTTAATTCTGAAATATTGGGAGCATACATTTGGGATAACATTTCAATTCTAAAAAAAATGTACATTGAAGATACACTGTTAAAATTTTAAGAGTGTAACTTATTTCTGCTGAATTATGCATTTTTCTTATTTTCCTTTGTCATACATAAGAATAGTGAAAATCTCAAGTGTAGGTGAAATCTTAATGATGCAGTATTTTCTCTTAGTTCAAGATCCAATTCTAAAAATCATTAGCATTCATACAGTCATATTGTGATATATCGGTATGCTTTCAAACTTTAAACAAGCATACTTCATTAACTTAATACATTACATATCTGAAGGTGAATCTTGAACAGAGCTTAAGCTATTTCAGTAAGGGCTTTTGTGTTTTGTTGTTGCTATGTGGTTATTTGAAAAGGTTTGAATAATATGGACAACAAATTTAAACTCTGAAATTTAATTCAGATTTAAACTTGTGGAATGATTTGTCTTATTATAGCTTGTACACATAATTTGCATTCCTTTAAACTCACTGGATATGTATTCGCACAAAGAGTTTTATTTAATGTCGTCTATATGTTTTGATTGGTTGGTTTAAATAGCTAACATGACCTTGATGTTGAATACATTTTTAGGAGTGTATAATCTTAATAAATTATTCAATAGTAAGGCTGTTGTAAACTTGAAACCACGGTGCTTATTCATTTCTGATATATATATATATATATATATATATATATATATATATATATATATACTATTAGTAGTTAGTATATTATTATTATTATAACTATTATTAGTTGTACGTAGTAACTAAACTAACGTATATATTAGTTACTTCGTT